ACAGGGAGAACAGCAGCCGATTTGGATTCCTGAGAGATTAACTAAAGTGAGCTCTCGGGCATTGTCTGTCACCACTGTGACCTGATGTCCACCAGCCACGGAGAGCATCCCGTCTTAAACACGGAGGAACCAGCTGATGTGACATTATGATGACTGGTCCTGTCTGTGGGCACCACTGGGAGGGGTGCGCTGGAATGTTGTGCCGGGATGCCGTGGCTGGGGTGAGATTGGAGTGGGTCTCCCAAGCCTTCATGTGTCGACACTTGTTTTTGTTTAATGTTTTAATTGGCACAGCACATCCTATGTAATAGTGGGAGTCATTGTCATAGATTCAGACATGGATACGACTGGCCAATGGCCTTCCCTAGCACTTCCCTGTCCCTCTTCGCCTCCCTCCCTGGTCTGTGTTGGATTCAATCCCGTGTTGTGAGATATTAACTGACTGTGGGGTTTAGAGATGGGGCCTTTGGATCCAAGTCCGAAGCCCTTGATGGAGCCCTGGAGGCTAGGAGAAGAGGGAGAGAGACGAGACCCCTCTCCTCACCTGACGAGTGAGAAGGACATTTCAGAAAAAGGAATAAAGGCAGATTGAGTGACTGGAAGAGTGGACATTGTCCCTTTCCCTCGCCCCACTGACCCGGCAAACCCAGACCCTCCTTCAGCATCACTGTTCGCAGTCAGAAAGACACTAATGTCACACCAGCCTCGGCGACGTCCTAGTGACTTTGGCACATATTCTCCTCAATTGAGGATCTGTCCCTTCATAATGTGGACTCATGACACCGTCTTCTCTCAACACCAGCATCCGCCACACCCAGGGAGGAAGCCCTGTTTCACGGGGGAGTGCCGCCCACGCAGAGGCCCCCGTGGAGACCCCCAGAGCCGGCTTGCGGGTAAGGCCTCCTGTGGTTACAGGAAAAGGGGTGCTTGAGACCAAGGAATGACCAACGTGCCTCACAGGTGTGACCGAGGCCAGGTCCCTCCACAGGGAGGGACCCCCGCGGGCACTTGGAGATGCTGTCCTTCCAGAATCTGTCTGCTCCGTCTCCAAACCCGCCTCATAGGCCCCCCCCCACTACTCTTTCCAGCTCATGAGCTTCACACGGAATAAGACCCTCGGAGCTCCGGGCCCTGCTCCTCCCAACCTTCAGAGCCAAGGCTTGTTCATGGGGCGACAACCAGGGCTGCCGTTGTGCTTCCTCTCCTGGCTGTGGCTCCAGAGTTCCTGGTGCCACACTCCGGTCCTCTCACTCAGGTGCTGTGTTTGCGGATGTGGGTGACAGACCGGGGCTACGCCCCGTCCTGGTGGCCTGTTTCCCGTCAGGGTCAGAACACGCCTCCCACGGAGATGTGACCTGAGGTGTGGGTCACGCTGCAGGACACAGTGGCACGAGCGGGTCCTGCAGCGACTCCACACAGCGCCTTCCTCACGCCCTGGAAGGTGCAGGGCGGGTGGACCTCCTGTGGATCAGAGCTCCCTGGCGGGATGTCCCCGTTCCTCCTTGTTCCCCCGGGAAAGATGGGATGGCAACAGATGATGCCTGTGGGGGGCAGCGCTGGGTCCCCATCTCGGTGGTTAGAGACCCGATGGGTGCCTTGAAGGACGGCTGTGAGGGCGGAGCCCCATGGGGGAGGCTGTAGACTGGGGGGCAGCAGGCTAGCCTGGCCGCATGCCGAGGTCGGTGGGGCACAGGAAGGGGCCGCCGCCAGAGGGCAGCCTCCCGCATGGCTGGCTTCCTCTCAGAGAGAATGGGACACGCCTCCTCCGCTGCAGTCACGCGTCAGGAGGAGTGCCTGCTTCTCGGTGGCACGGAGCAGCTTGTCTCACAGCGTGTCCCTGAGGCGGCCCTGGTGCTGCATTCCAGGCGCAGGTCCGGGCCAACCGGGTTCAGCCTTCCTCCAACTTCAGCACTAGGAAAGGGGACAGCTCCCCCTCTGTCTTGTGCTGGTCTCAATGGGACACAGAGGGCACAAGTCACGTCTGTTCCCATCTCCTAGGAAAATCAAGCCACAGGGCTCTGTCTGGTGCTGGCACGCCACCTAGAGCCCAAGTGGGCTGGTGGAGGGCAGGATGGGTCAGTGAAATTGTGGGACTTGTGTATCACAGAGTCTTGTCCAGCCTCAGGAGGGCAGTGTGGACGGGCCTCGAGGCCAGTGTGCTACGTGAAATAGGCCAGTTGTGAAGGACTGGTGAGGGATCCGCTTATCTGAGGCACTTCGAGGAGTCAAATTCCTAGGGACAGGGGCTGGTCTCCAGGCTGGGCTAGGCTGGGCTCGGGCAGGTATAGTGGAATGGGTGACGTTGCCTGGAGCGAGTGAGGTGTGCGCGTGTGCGCGTGTGCGTGTGTGTGTGCATGTGTGTGTGTGTGTGTGTGAAGGTAGGACGCAGAGCAGAGATGCTCAAGTCTGAGCGCTAAGCCAGAGGCTCCGACACCAACTCCAGGAAGCTCGGGAGGGCCCTGCAATGCCCTGGTCACTAAGGATCTGCGCAGGTGAGGAACACAGGGGAGCCCACCTGGGAGGTGGGCTGATGTTGTTGGTGCCCTGACGCCGAGCAGGTCTGACTTCCCTGCTCACAGGGTCAGGATGCAGCCTGCTGGACCACACCCCGGTGGCTTGCCCCACACCCACGCAGCGTGCTGCCTTGGAGTGTCTTAAGGGACTGGAACCTGGGCCTCGGGACTTCAGGATGTTTGGTAAGCGCAGCTCTGCTCCAGTGACCGTCAGGGAAGTTCTGTGACCTCCTCTGCAGAGCCTAGATGTGACTGTTAGGTCTGCATGGAGCAGAGATCAGAGAGGGCCCCTGGAGAGACCAGGAAGTGGCCGAGGTCTGCCTCCAGGGGGTGCCTGTCCATGCGGGGGCTTCCTGCTGGGTGCATGGAAGGAAGGAGCCTGGCCAGGGTGTGGTGACCCACTGAGAGGGTGGACAGGTGAGGGACTGGCCCCACAGGGGTGCCCAGCACAGACCTGCCCTCAGGCTTTGCTCCCTCTACGCACCCCCCCCCCGTCTCTTCCCACTGGTGTCCCCGGGGACACACCTCTTGGGACAGCACTGATTCTTCTCATTCTGGGTCACAAAAAGTAAGAAGAGAAGTTTGGTTTTTGTCCTAGTGACTCCTGACCTGGGGTTAAACTCCCCTTGACTCTGTCTCTGTCCTCCCTCTCTCAGGTCAGACCACGGGACGGTGACATGGGCACGGCTCCCTCCTAACATATGAGGAAATGCCCTGCCCAACTGCTCAGCCCAGGTCCCTGGTGGCCTCAGGGGGACAGGTGGCTCTGCCCTGTCACACAGCTTCTTCCCATGACGTCTTCACTCTGTGCAGAGACAGAGCCGCCTCCCTGCCCCAGAACTGCTCCCACCAGAACCACAGCTGGTTCCCATGTCCCCTGTGAGCCTGGCCCAGGGGGGCACCTACAGGTGCTCTGTCTCCTCCAGGGGCAGACCTCTGCTCTCTGCCCAGGGACCCCCTTGAGATTTTGGTCTCACTTAATGTCCCTGACTGCAGCAGTGTCTCTGTCCCAGGTGTGACTGAGGAGGATGTCAGCAGAGGTGTGAGGGACCTTCTTGCCCTGTGGGACACTTGGGCCATATGTCATGTGGCCCCTCGAACGTCCAGGGTGGGTGCTGAGCCACGAGAGTCTCTGGGGGAGGCCCGCTGAATCTGGCCACGTGGCCGTGTGTCACCTGCACCCAGGGGCTTCCTGGGCTGGGCTGTGAGAGCGCTGAGGGCACCCACCCCCTGCGTGGTCCCCCCACACCTGCCCGGCCCTTGCTGCAGCTGGATGGCAGGAGGACAGGGGGGTGGCGGGGCATCTTCACCCAGGAGACGTCTTGGTGAGCCCCTCTCTCTGCCAGCAAGCTGGTGAGGAGCACCCAGAACGGGAGAGGGGTAGTCACAGGATCGACGTCCAGGGTGTGTGGACATGCCCGGGACCCTGGGGCCACAGCGGCACTTGGTGCTTGGGGCTTGTAATTCCAGGAAGGGCGGACAAGAGTGTCCCACAGCCAGGAGGCCAGTGAGCCGGGAGGAAGGGGGAGCAGGGTGGGGGTCCAGGAAGGAGTCAGCAGTGAAGGTCCAGCAAGGGACCTCAGCTGGCACAATGTGGGGACTGGACGGTGAGACTGGTCCCTGGAGGGGCCGTGCAGCATCTGCCATGCCTCTGTGGACATGCAGGTGGAGCCCAGAAAGCCCCCCGAATTCCCGTTAGCACTCACAGCTGTGCATCTGCATGTGTGGACCTGCAGGTGGACGGCCATCCCGGAGCCCCTAGAGCTGCAGGTCACCTGGAGCATCTTGTCCACTTCAGTGTGCCCTGAGCCTCACCCTGGTGTCTGGGGTCTGCGACCTGAGCAGCTGAGCTGGGGGTAGGGAGCCCGAGAGCCAGACGCCTCCCTGTTTCCACCCCGTCAGCGTCTGTGGTCCTCTGAGTCTCCACGCCAGCGAGGGCCGGGCAGCAGCCTGTCTGGTCAGAGCCACAGAAGGAGCAGCAGGTTCTGGCCTCGGGTCCTGGGGCTGGGGTCAGATGGTGGTGGGAGCCTCCATTTACAGGAGGACACTTGTACTCTTGTCCTGGGAGCCATCTCCAGACCCACACATGCCCAGGGAGGAAGGGCTCTGGGTCCACTGAGGGCCTGGTGGCTCATCCCCTCCTACGGGTGAGGACTTAGCTGTGGGGTTTGCCTCCGTGGACTTGGGGGGACTTGCTGTGGGTTGGGGTCATGTTCTCCCCTTTCCTTCCTAGAATCCTCTCCCTGTCCCAGGAAGGGGAGCACGGTCAGCTGGTGCCTTCTCCTGTTGGTCCAGCTCTATGGCTGGCCACCTGGCAGGGCAACAGAGGTGTGCCCGGGGAGCAGGGAGCCCAGCTGGGAGAGCCGTCTGAGCCTTGCCTCGAGATGCTGGAGTTGAAGTCCGCAGGGACACGGGCGTCCTCGGCTCCCCACCATGAGCCGGGCCTGGGGTGGAGTCCCGTCGTCCCTCAGGGTCCTGCCCTAGACTTGGCTGTGTTTAGAGGGGACCTCTGTGTCCCGGAGCCTTCCTCCCTCTCTCTTCTCTGAGAGTCTCTGTGACGCCTGCCTCTGCTGCCTCTGGCCCTTCCTGAACCCTTCTTGACTCTGGATGTTATTTTCATGAAGCCGTTTCCTTCTCCTTCTTGACCCTCATTGGCTTGCCCCCCTCTCCCGGGCCTTCCTGCCCTTCACTTCTGTGAATGCCATCTTCATTAATCTGTTTATTTCCGGTGTATGATTAAAGTCCTCAGGAGGGTGTTTTGATGCACACAGACGCAGCGAAATGATTACCACGGCAACGAATTAACAAACCCACTGTCCATCCTGTTTGGTTTTTGTTGCTACAACAGGTTCCCAGATGCTGAGAAACTTACTGTTAAACCGCGATGCAAAGAAAAGACCACTGACTCCGATTTTAAATCAAATTAAAGCAAGCCTGTAATTCTGACCAGCCGGGGCTGTCCTTCTCCCGAAATCCTTGGGTCAGAGAATAGCACCCCAGCTCTCCAGGAGCGCAGCTTTATAGCATAGAAAGTTGCAAAAGGCGGGGTGTCTTGAGAACTTACAGACAGCAGGATTCTGACCTAACACAAAGGCAGGTAGTAGGTTAGTGGTCTAAATGGTTCAGCACGAAGGGAGTAAATTTAGACCCCAACACCAGAATTCATGAGCTCCACCATGCGGCCAGCACAATGGTTTCATTAATGAGGTTCTTGGCATAAAAGTTAGCTAGAAGAGATAGATATAAAACACACAGACTCAGTTACCTTATTTCTATTGCCAGGTCTGAGACGGCTCCCCTCTCTGGTTCCCACCTCTAACCGCCCAGCAGTGCAGCAGGGATTACTCAGGGCCAGCAGGAGAGAGAGAGAACGAGCACGCCAGGGAGTAGCCTTTTATTGGGGAACAAGAGATTCAGGGGAGAATTCCATCCAATGAAGGTTGAGGGGGGCCGCACTCCAAGGTCAGGGTCAGTGATTGGGCCCCGGGGTCAGTGGTCAGTCACACCCCCACACGGATGGGTTCTCTCATCAGGAGAGGGTGGGGAAAGTTCCCACACAGCCAGAACGCCTCAGACCCTTAACGGGAGTCACCAGTCACGTGTCGGAATGGCTCCCCACAATGAGCCACTAGGGTTTCAGAGAGGGTTGTTGTCTGCCAGGGAGCCAGGCGCGGTGAGTTCAAGGCACGGGCAGGCATTCCACGCAAGTTCAGAAATCGCAGTGATTTACAGCAAAACAATCACCTTTTCACGACTTTGTGATGAGATGGCTCCCAATCTTAAGAGGGGATTAGGTCATCACTTAATACTACCAAGGCTTACGGCTTTGTTTGTTCATTCCGGTGGCTGGCTGGGCGGCATGACGCTGGTCCTGCCTGGGGTCTCCTTGGCTGTGTGGCAGCTTGCAGAAGTGCAGAGGGAGCTGGCTCCAGGCAGAGGACCCAGCCCGTGGGTGGCCTGGCTTACAGCCATCTCCTAGGGCTCACTCACTCCTGGGACCAGCCACCAAGAAGGCCTGAGGGTGGCCTGGAGATCCGTTGTTTCCCAGAGGCCCCGCCCCTTAATGGCTCAGCCCTGCCACCAAGGAGACCAGCGTCCAGCTTGTGGACCTTGGGAAAAGCACGTCTAAGCCATAGCATCATTTTTTGTTG